AAAAAAAAATGGGACATAGTTTTTTGAGAAACTGGAATGTTTCCACTGCAAATTAACCATAAAAAATATTAGCATGATTAGTTTATAACTGTTGAAGCCTGTGAATATAAGATGACCCTGAATTTTAGAAATACTGAACTAAGTAAAGGTTTATTTCTTGTCACTTATCTAGTGCATGTTTATTGAGCATTTAATATGTGATAGACAATATGAGGATTATAACAATAAGTGACAGTCCCTCAAGGAAGATCAAATTTAATAGGAAAAAAAGTAAGGTAAGTAAATAAATGCCTAAAACATCAGGAAGTACTTACTATGCAGGAAGTACTTAGGATTAGACTGTGTCTTTGTATCTGTGTTTTCAAAAGCCTCATTCAGTTTTGAATGCAGTAATGTTTGTATCACAGGTCTGCAAGCGCCAGGCTTATACAGTATCTGTCTTCCCTTCTTTCAAATGAGCAGAGACCACTCTGTCCCTCTTGGCACCGTCCCCAGGCCCTTTCTGTGCTACAGGCAGCTGCCTGACTTATTACCCCACACGGTTTCCGCTTCCCCTGCCCACCCTCTACTTCCATCGCTGGCACTTCTGACTGCTCCTCAGGCAGCCATTTTGCTTCACATAATCCTTCTTTAGCCCCCTTCCTTACGCTTACTCTTGTCTTTTTTTTTATTTTATTTTTTTCAGTTACCTCAGAAATAATTCACCACCTTCTTTCTCTCTTTGCTAGTTCATTTCCTTCTAACACCATGCACTGCTTTAAGATCAGATACCCAGGCGTCTCCACAGAAGTTTCTCTTTGCTGATGCTAATGCTGATAACCCCCATCCGTTGCACATGTACTGTGTCTGCTGGGCGCTGTGTTGCGCTTCCTCATCTGCCAGCATTTCTACTGTAAACTAGTGGAGGCAGAGGCCAGCTTTTTGAATTCTCAGTATCGCTCTTTGCACACAGGAAATGGCTTATAAATATTTGTTGACCAGAGAGGAAGAACAATCAATTACTTTCACCTACATTGAAAATAATTTTAAGAAATTATTTCACATGCAATTGAATTTTATCTCATTGCCAGTATTGCAGCAGTATCCTTTTTTATGATAAATGCCAACGGCCTCACTTCAACATGGATTAAATGTGCTTTGGTGGGATTCATTAGGAACCACTTATTACATTGTTTTTAGGGCATACTGGATTTTACCTTTACAAAACCATTTGGGCACATAATTTATAAGATGTGGACTGTCTGTTCAGAATATCTCCTTTTCAGTAATTTTTCTTAAAAGGGGACTTAGTTTTCAATGAAAGTACCTTGTTTGTTTTTCTCTCCTTTAATGGGTGTCTTCTTATGCCATTTACCACACACTAGGATTCTCAAACTTTTCTAGTCTTAGGGCACGAGGTGATTGCTAGAGCCAACTGGAAATAGATCAGGGATTAACAGGCGCAGCACATGTCACTGATGCCATGTGCCATGACTGCTGAGAGGCAGGCATGCCACTATAATTAAAAGCAGTCAGCAGCAGCGAAATGTATAGGGGAAAACATTACATTTGTGATTGTCAACAAATATGCTGTATTACCTTGAGGACTTGCCCATCATTAGTAAGTTTAAAAACAATATCTAAGTCAGGCATACCCATACCTATCTTGTCACTGCTCCATTTAGGGCAAGCAATTCAAACTCAAAGGCTAACACGGGCCAAATAAATAGGGTTTAAGTTTATGTGGGCCGCAAAAAAACAAAAGCTTCAATTTTCATGGAAACGTAGGTTTATTTTGATAGACATGCTGAATACAAAGGGCTGAAATAAATGAGTAATCATTAACATAAAATAATATAACATTTTAATAAAAATTAATATTTTTTCTTGAACATTAACTTACCAGACACTGAATAACTGCACAAATTAATAAGTGTAATGCAAATAAACCGATTTTTCTTGTTCTTTGAAAGCAAAATATTTCCTGTTGCGCACACCAAACAAGTCAGTCCAGGACTAATGATGTGGCCATCAGCTGCTAGAATATTCCCTGCTGGTATTAGAGAAATGGTGCACCTGCACAAAAGACGCGTAAAGAAAATGAATGCAACACGATTATAGTAATCAGTCATTAACGAACGTTGTAGCTCCTTATTAATAATTATGTATAAAGGATATTGTAAAAATTAAGTTACAAAATTTTTATTAAAGTGTTTCTTACATTGCATTATATTGGCTGGGCTGCAAAAATATTTGTTGTGGGCCGCATGTGGCCCGCGGGCTGCGAGTTTGAAATGCTTGATTTAGGACTTCATGCCTCTTCCTGGACCATTGTCCTCGTCTCCTCGCTGTGTCCATCCATGGTCCTCCCCATCTAACCCACCCACCACTCCCAGGCCCCTTCAATCTTCCCTTCGCTGTTACTCCTCAAAAACTCGATGCTAAACGGCGTTTATTTTTCCTCATTTCCCCTGCTTCTTTCCTCCCTCTCTTCATCCCTCCCTGCATCTCTCTATTTTTATTTTTTTGTTTCTTTCACTTTTAGAAAAATAAAAACAAAGTGACACACAAAGTTTTTGCTTCAACGAACTCAAAATTCTACAAAATCACTCTCACCCTCCACCTTCACC